TTCCTGCAATGCTCTTCTGATCTGTAGACTGATCAGGTCTGGGCTTGCTTAGTTTGCAAAATCAGAAATAATGGCCATCCAAGGCAAGGTGACTGCAGGAAGTCACAAAACTTATGCGAGAACTATTATTATTAATGGTTATTTTAGCCAGGTAGGAAGAAATAGAAAACCCTGCTGAGTTTTTCTTTTCCATTTTCCTCTTCTTCCTTTGTTCTTTACTTATTCAGTGGACTTGAGCTCGGCCAGTGAAGATGACTTTGACAGCGAGGACAGTGAACAGGAACTGAAGGGCTACGCCTGTCGTCACTGCTTCACAACCAGTATGCACCTGATTCATTGCTGTATTTCTCTCCCTTCTGCTACTGCCTGTTTAATGCAGGTTCATTCAAGCAAGAGCAGTTCATGTGCATGTACAGCTGTTCAAAAAAATGTGGGGTTGAATCAGCTAAAATATGCAGCATTCCTAGCAGAGTTAATCATGCTTTGCCGTTGCAAATTAATACTGCAGTGGCAAAGGAGAATCCTGAGAGGTACACATTTATACAGGAAGAAAATCTACATAATCCATAATCTATATAATGCATTTGTGATATAGCAAATCAATATTGGACTGTGACTGTCAGACACAAAACTTCTTTACACTGCACCAAATCTCTTCTGCAACAGCCTCATTCCTGAAGGTTGTCTGATATTTGGGCGTATACATGGCACGGAAGTGTGAGCCCCAAAATAGGGAAGGGAAGGAAATGAGAAGTTCATAGCTCACTTCACTTTAAGAAACCACAGCTTTGGAGAATAATAGCTGCCTGTTAGCTCCCAGGTAGAGCAGATAAGGCTTCTTCCTTTGTTTTCAAAACTGTAGTTGCTTAAATAAACAAATAGTTTGTCAATTGAATATTGAAGATGTGCACTGGAACACAGACTAAACCTGGAACAGGACCAAGTTTTCCAGAAATTTCTCCAACTTTGTTGCCTGTAGAAAAGCAGCTACTTTTCTAGTTGTTATGTGCTTTTTTAATAATGCAATGTGTTTGTGCTGAGTATCTGGTACATTGCGTATTTCTAAGCTGTTGCTTTTCCTGCCCCAAGCCTCCAAGGACTGGCACCACGGCGGTCGAGAGAACATTTTATTGTGCACTGATTGTCGCATTCACTTCAAAAAATACGGAGAGCTGCCACCCATTGAGAAGCCTGTAGACCCTCCACCCTTTATGTTTAAGCCTGTCAAAGAGGAAGATGATGGACTTAGTGGAAAGCATAGCATGAGGACAAGGCGGAGTCGAGGCTCGGTAGGCTTAACGCTCTTGCATTGCAGCTTCTTCTGTAAAGACGAGGTGTTGTGTGGAAAAAGGTAGTCAAACTTCTAAAATGATGCTTTCTCCATCTTGCTTGTTTGCCACGGTATGTGCCTGCTGCTGCATTTGTGTATGCAAGTGTGAGATTTGCTGAGGTTGAGGCTTGCTTTGGAAAAAGGAGCTGAAAGGTCTCTTCTGCAAGTTCTAATCAAACTTGTTATTTCCACATCTTTAATGACTGGCAGTGGATTGTCATCATAAGAGGGCACTTGACCAGTGTGTCATTACAGTTTTTGTACTAGTATGTATCCGTGTTCCAGCTGAATCCTGTCAGAGGTAAGCCCTTGGGCTTATTTTAAAGGAAGAGTTTTAAAAAATTAAACGCTATTCATGTGGTCTCCTCATATTACTGGAGTTAAAATCTCTTCCCTACAGAAAACTGTAGTTTGCGCCTGTGGTCAGTGTGCTCTGTCACAGAGTTTTTACTCGGGGTGGAATGCCGGGAGCCTTACTCTGCGCAAGTCACTTGTGAGAACTTGACAGCAGCTCCAGTTAATTTGATGTTTGCTTTGGGTTTTGGCTGATAGAAAGCAGCAGATATATTTCTTTTCCTTGCCCTCCCCTCTCCATCTTTCTGATCATGATGATATGACCGTTGCTTCTAAATATCTTGTGAGGCTACACTGTCAGGTAAGGTTGGCTTTGTTGTTTTATGGTAGCCAGTCATCCAAAAAACTGCCAAACTGGGACGAAAACGGCATTAATTATTGAAATATACTCTACCTTGATTCCTTATTGCATAGCAGGAGCACATTGAAACAGTGGTTTTAGAAACTGGTCTTGACTGCTTGAATGCCACCAGGTAGACTTTTTTTTTGATGGAACACGAGTCCCCTCCTACCACGTGTACGCACACTTACAAACGTGTGTGCATGTGTTTTATGAAGAAAATTTAGCATGCAGACAGCAGCAGTTTCGGAACATCGTTCTAATGTTGTCATTTCTAGCAGACACTACTAAAAAAAATAGTTGGCACTTAATGTTTTTGAGTAGACGAATTAAGGATTTGCCTCCTTTTACTTTTAAGTCCAGATGAGCTTTCAAGGAGAAAATTGTTACTACGTTAAATGCTCTTGTTTTTTCATTTTTCAAGCTCTTAGTAGGAGTGGTCCATCCACGTCCCTGATGTAAGACAGAAAGAGGTAAAGAGGTTGGACAAATGCTGACTTTGATACACTTCTCTTTCTGTTAAACAAACAGATGTCTACACTACGTAGTGGTCGTAAAAAGCAGCCAGCCAGCCCTGATGGTAGAGCCTCACCTATTAATGAAGACATCCGTTCCAGTGGCCGCAACTCTCCTAGCGCTGCCAGCACCTCCAGTAATGATAGCAAAGCAGATTCCGTGAAGAAGTCTACCAAGGTAAAATTTTCCCATTCTTCTTTTGTGTCAGGACTGGACACCTGAAGCCTCTTCAGTCAGCTAAATGAGATGCAGATTCTAGGAGGCCGGGGAATCTCTCAGTGACCTAGAAATTCCTATTTGTGTGGATAAGCCAAAAAATTTAACGGTGCATCTGACTGATGCTTTGTTTCCTGTACATAAGGATGTGTAGTGACAGAAACCATTGAAGTATCCCTACGTAACCTTACTGCTCTCATGATAAATTAATCCTTCAATTTCGGATGCAAATGCAAGCATTAGGCTCATGGAAGTAATACAGATCAGAAATGCTATATTTGAGACAAGTAGACAGTTTTGGGGATTCTTTCTTTTAAGCAGTACTTAATCTTTGTTTACAAAGGAATATGAATATGTAGTAATTGAGACTACGTCTGTTACTGTTGTTCTGTATGTATATGTTTGCTTGATTTTTCAGAGCAAGCTGACAGTTTAGTCTGTTTAAATGAGTAAGTGCCTTTCCAAGAGAGTACTGAAGAAACAAAGCCAGATGAAGTGAGAAGGCTTGTTATTAAGCAGTGTAAATTGAAAAGTAGCAAGTTAAAAATAAATATTTTTATAAAAAAACAAGTCAAAACTGGAGTATGGAGCAAGTTTTCACATGATAAAACTGAGAACTTAGCAAAATTTGAAGTTAGGTTGGGTAATTATGTGATGAATAAAGCTGTCCCAGGCCGTGAAAGAAGGTAGTAATCTTGTAATAGCTACTCACCGTTAGCCCTATACTTGAGGGGGTATAAAAATATCCTTTGCAAACTATCAGGAGTAAAGCAAGACTTTCATGTAGTAGAAAGGCTTATTCTCTGCCTGTTTACTGCTGAAATTCTTGCTCCACCCTCTGTTAACAACTGGTGTTGGTCTCCATTAGAAGAGTATACTGGGCCAGTTGATCTGGTATGAGTTCCTGATGGACTTGATTCTGCACAGCTGAAGGTGGAAAGACAACTGCTTTGTTTAAAATATTCCTTCACTATCAGAGCTCAAGACCACACCTGCACGATGAGGAATGCTTTACACGATGTTCCTTTTTCCTCCTAGCTTGTGTCAGAAACGTGTGCTGGGTTTGTGTGCAAACTGCCCCTTGGGTTTCTGTCCACAGAAGTAAAATTGCAGTCTGTTTTGGGTTCTGTCTTAAATTTGACATCCAGAGGGAGTAGCTAGAGCATTATGTAGATGCAAGTCTTCTGGGAGCTGCTCCTGGCAGATGGTGGAATACAGCAGCAGCTCCAGAGCAGATTCCCCTGCAACCTGTAACTGGACAGAGGGACAGATGCTTATTGTTAAACACTCAACTTCTGATCAGTTCTCCTACTCCATAGGGACCCTTTTCATTTATTTGTATTAAATATGGTAGCACTGGCATATGCTCAATTTACTTTTGCTTTTATATCACTGGTAACTGTTGTGTTCTGCTTCATTTGTGGCAGAAGATAAAAGAAGAGGTATCTTCTCCTCTCAAGAACTCCAAGAGGCAGCGGGAAAAGGCAGCTTCTGACACAGAGGAACCTGACAGGTCCAATGCCAAAAAATCCAAAACTCAAGTGAGTTCCACAGAGGAATATTTTCTCTTAGGAAAATGGTTTGAAAGTGGGAGGGGGTGCAAACCCGGTGACAAACCAAAAACATGAGATCAATTTAAGCCACAGCAAATGGTAACTTAATCTGTGGCTGGAAAGCAACCAACTTTATAATGTGTTCCTTCTGTTGAAAAACAGAGACTGATATGGGGTAAGGCCAGAAATATTTTTTTTTGTTTTAATATCAATATCAACCATATAGGAGTATATTTGGATTATTTTCCACCCCCTCCCTCCCGATTGTTTTTAATTGAAATTTGTTTTTTCCTCTTCTGTGGCAAGTTAGAAGACCACCACTGGAGTTCTCTCAATTTAATGGTATCAAAGCTCAATTGAAATACTTTCAGGATGTCTTTTCAGCTCCGTGTACCTGACCAGGTTCACTCTGTGCACAAGATTTGGTAATTTTGGCACTGAGCTTTCCATATTACAGAATCACAGAATGGTTGAGGTTGGAAGGGACCTGAAGGTCATCTAGTTCACCCCCTCTGCTCAAGCAGGGCCACCTGGAGCCAACTGCCTAGGACCATGTCCAGTTGGCTTTTGAATATCTCCGAAGATGGAGAGTCCACAGCTTCTCTGGGCAACCTGTTCCATTGCTTCGTCACTCTCATAGTGAAAAAGTGTTTCAATTATGTTCAGGCAGAACCTCCTGTATTTCAGTTTGTGCCCATTGCCACTGGACCCTACTAAAAAGAACCTGGCTCTATCTTTGCACCCTCCCTTTGGTATATTTGTGTTGCCTGTGCTGTTTTAAGTCCTGAGAGGTTCAAAGGGTGGTACTTGCCCTTGTGTTTGCACAGCATGAGTAATAGGTTGCATCCTATGGCATGCTGGTAATGTTCTTTGTGCAGTTTTCTCACGCACGGTGGTTATTCTTCCCCCTCTCCCTGCAGGAGATCAGCAGGCCAAACTCTCCCTCAGAGGGTGAGGGCGAAGGTGAGAGCTCTGACAGCCGCAGTGTCAATGACGAAGGGAGCAGTGATCCCAAGGACATTGACCAGGATAACCGGAGCACGTCACCCAGCATCCCTAGCCCTCAAGACAATGAGAGTGACTCGGATTCATCTGCTCTTGTCCGGGCCAGGCTCCTCCTCCTACGCCACCTATATCAGCCCAGTTACCAGCATCGCTGCCAGCAGTGTCGAGTGCTACTTCGGCTCCACCACAGGTCTCTCCATCAGCATCCCAGCCCCCTAGCCAGCCCCAGGCCTCTGCGCCACCACCTCCTCATTCTCACATACAGCAGGCCCCAGCTTTGCACCCGCAGAGACTCCCATCACCCCACCCGCCTCTGCAGCCTTTGAGCGTGTCGCAGACCCAGCCGACCCCTGCCTCTTCACAGCCTCACTCGCAGGCTCCGCTCCACAGTCAGGCCCAGCCTACCCCTCACAGCCTGCAGGCCCAGCCCCTCCTGCCTCATCCGGTACCTTCCCAGCCATTTTCCCTCCCCACTCAGTCACCTCAGTCTCAGGTTACCCTTCAGACACAAGCACCGTCTCATTCTCACTCTGCTCTCCAGGTTCAGGTAACGCAGCCTGTCCTGCCAACCGCAACCTCACTGCAGCAGGCTCAGCCACCACGGGAGCAGCCGTTGCCCCCTGCACCCATGGCCATGCCTCATATCAAACCTCCCCCTACTACCCCAATCCCTCAGCTCCCCACTGCTCCATCCCACAAGCACCCTCCTCATCTCTCTGGCCCTTCTCCATTCTCAATGAACTCCAACTTGCCTCCACCACCTGCTTTAAAACCTCTGAGCTCCCTCTCAACTCATCATCCTCCATCTGCACACCCTCCTCCTTTGCAGCTGATGCCTCAAAGCCAACCACTGCAGTCTTCGCAAGCCCAGCCTCCTGTACTGACACAGAGTCAGAGCCTTCCCCCACCTGCTAATCACCCCCCATCTGGACTCCATCAGGTATCCTCCCAGCCCCCCTTTTCTCAGCATCCATTCGTCCCAGGAGGCCCACCTTCCATCACCCCTCCTTCTTGCCCCTCCACTTCCACACCACCCAGTGTGCCGGGCATCCCACTTCAGACTTCCATCTCCACATCAGCAGCTTCTAGTGGAAACGTGCCAGTGGTGACAGCCTGCACGCTACCACCTATTCAAATCAAAGAAGAAGTCCCAGATGAAGCTGAGGAACCGGAAAGCCCTCCCCCTCCACCCAGAAGTCCATCACCAGAACCTACTGTGGTGGATACACCAAGTCATGCTAGTCAGTCAGCCAGGTATGGAGGTTGTCATCAGTGCTTCCTTAATGTGCTCTGTTTTTTCTGTGTAGCAGGGCACTCCCAAAAGCTGAGAAATGAGCTCCTGTGGGAGCTGAGTGTATTTTACATGTGCAGCTTGTCAGCCTCTCGTTCTAGCGTGATTTTGCTCTGTTTTTCTGGAAAGGTGCTGTTTCAGCCGGCATATTCAGACAGGGCATTACAGTTTGTAATTGTGAGAGGGGTTTTATACTCCGCTTGTGTGTGGAGTAATATGGTACAATTAATTTTCTCATGGCTTTCAGGGAAGCTGGTAGTGCTATTGTATAAGTGTAGAGTGATACTTTTTTTTTTTTCATACAGCTCTCAAATCCCAGGCTCTTGCATCTGTCCCAGGGCTAAGCTCTTTCTCTTTTGTTTCTTTCAGGTTCTATAAGCACCTGGACCGTGGCTACAATTCATGCTCAAGAGCAGACTTATACTTCATGCCTCTGGCAGGATCGAAACTGGCCAAGAAGAGAGAAGAGGCCATTGAAAAGGCCAAAAGAGAAGCAGAGCAGAAAGCCAGAGAAGA